CGCCCCGTCCAACCTCTCAAAGGCCAAAATCAACTTGGTGCTTGCGGGGTTGTGGCTCACACTGACCTCTGCCTGCCACTTGTCACCCACGGCAAGACGAACGTTGCGCCAATTCGGTTTACCAGCGTTCCCCTCGCCAGCCATGGCTTATTCTTAGCACTGTCGTCTCTGGCCTTCCTCTTTCGTGCCGTTGGGTGCGTTTGATCGGCTCCTTGATGGGAAGAAGACAGGACGACAGACCATCTCCAGGCGCATTCAAGCTCGCCCACACACCCTTGCAAGGATGTCTTTTGCAGTGCTGATCTGTCCCGCCCCGGGCTACTGGGTGTGTGGGATCACTGGCCCGTCGTCTTTCTACACCGTCGTCACTACTCACTCCAGGGCACCAGCCTAACCTACCTACCCCACGGCACCGCGTGGGCATACCGGTAGAAGTTTATCAAAACAGAAATTTTGCCCGTCAGTGTATCCGTATGCTTTATTACCACGAGGGTATTGCTCTCTGGGCCACGCAACGCCTCGCCCCTTGGTTGAGTACCACAGCCACTTCTCTCCAGTCAGTCTGGGAACTTCCGGCAGTACAACCCCATCATACTTGTTTTGCATTGGGCTTCCACAGATATTGCTCGTCAACTATAGAGTACTCCTTGCGCTCAATATCTGTCCTGCGTCTTCCATTGGAGATCACCGTTCATGCCCACCTTAATACGACCGTCATATCACATCTGTCTTCATGCTCATCGCCCACCCCTGAATCGTTCTGGGCTTTCCTTTTATACATACCGACTTCAATCTTGACTTCCAGGACCAGCTCACTTCTTTTGGTTTTGCCAAGACCAGTCCCATCTAGCACCGACAGATTGGACCGGCTCAGGCCGTGGTTGATCAATAACACAGGTGGTTCAACGACTGTCTGCGTCATCAAATGCGGATTCCTCTCCGCACAAAATATCTAGTTACTCCTTTTTGTCGCCGACCATAATCGTCACTTCCTGGAAACGATTCTATTGCATCCTACTCCGAACATAGCCGAAGCCAGGCGGCTGACACCCTCCTTCAAAGACACCCGAAAACAGGTCACGAATCAAAGTGTTTCGAACAGTGATTGCGCCCCAATTCCGGGTCTTGTCCCCCTTCTCAGGCCGTCCAACTGCAGCAGAGGTCCGTCACAGTCCTTGAGTAGTGACTGCGCTCGCCGGCTGGGCCTGTCAAACCCCGGCCAAGAAACGTGTTAGCGGCCGTTGGAAAGAAGCCCATTTGTCGCCATTCTGCGGTTCCGTCGGCTTTAGGCCTGTCAAACTCGTCACATTCCACCCTGCCATTGACACCGGCTGGCTCTTCGAACCCTTGCAACATCATCACGTCTGTTGCGTGGCCAGTGGACCGTGTTCTTTTGCGGCAACGTGCAGATTCCCGCCCCTGCGAAAACAGTCCCCGCCAATCTCAACCCCTAGCCAACAGCCCGGAGAGCAGCCTCGAATCGGTCAACGGATACTGGAGAAACGCAACAAGCACACCAAGGCGCTGTAAGAACCCTGCTCTGGGTGCTGACTTTCCTTCCCACACAGGGTTTGGCGACGCCATCCTACGCCACGCGTTTGAGAAAGCTGCGAGCAACGTTCGCTTGTCCCTTGCTGAAGCCCTGTCTGCACCAGTCTATCGACACCTTCCGGAGAGATAAAACGTCAATCGGGCTTTCGGTTCTGCCACCGAAATATGCTTATTGCCCGTTGGTCTCAGCAGTGAACAAGACACGTGCTTGGCCGTTGCAGAAAGGTCGAGAACCAGCCGCTACCCGACAGACCGCACACGACATACACACAGAGCATAGCTTGGTGGCTGAGAAAGAATCTGTTGAGACGTTGACAGACACGGGCTCGCACATTGTCTGCAAGCAGAGGGTGAACTCTTTTCTGAGGGTTTCGCCGAGACATCCTTGGACTAAGAAGGTACGTGGATGTCACTGTTTCGTTTTCCCCTGTCCCATGCCTTGATCAATCGAAATATCGTCCCCTTTATCAACTGAGCAGAAGCACCTCAATATCGTACGTCGCTCCAGATATTGGTTAAGTGCCCTCTGTTATAACCGGCTAGTACGCAATGCCACGGACATTACCCTTATGCCAGATTTTATGACAAGATCGGGTCGCGGTTACGTGGTCAGGGCCATGCTTGTCGGCCGTCGTCAAACCAATCAACCCGCTGCGGCCATTGGCAGCGAAAAAGCCCCGAAGATCATTCTTCGATAGCTCCCGACGAACGGCTTAGCGGCCCCTTCTCATTAAGCGCACGTCCTCCGCCCGGGCGGGCTGTAGTCGGCTCGTCTGTCGGCTGTCCAGTCGTCTCAAGCCCGGTAGAGGAACTGGACGCAGGGCAAGCAGAAGCAAGACACGAAAACCAACATGGCAGAGAAGACTCAGGCAACTGACCTGGACCAAAGCTGGTCCATCTGCAAGTTGCTGCGAATACTGCTGGAAGGATTCTGGATGCACATCATGTCCTAAAATAGGCCCTCAGCCCACAGCGCCAGAAGTCAGTGGCACAACCCGAGAGAATGCCGGCCAACTCCCAACAGCAACAAGTCTCCTGCAATAAAGTGCAGAAGTGGAAGAGCTTCATGTGCGGAGTCTGCAGGTTCTTCCCCTAGCAAGAGTCAACCGAACCAACGACGGGCACCCAACTCCCATCCATACATCCTATGAAGAGTGTCTGTACATCCATCCATCCACACTCTTTTGCATACACACACCCACACCCACATGCACACACACACTTTCTCTCTCTTTGTCTCCCTCTCTTTCTCTCTCTCGTCACGCCTGAACTCTTTCCCGCCCTCAGTCAACATCCACGTCAGGCAAACCCCCCCTTTCCTTTCCCCAGGCCTAGATGTCGAAGCTGCATGACTGATTACCCTCCCACAATTCGGGGCGCATTATTACCTCTTCTGCATCGTGGGCGGCCTTGGGCGACTGGATCTGTGGTAACGTGTGTGCCCTTTTCCTGGCCCACCATTCACGAAATCCCCGATGAAAGGAGCGCAAACCGCGTGGTCCCTTCAGATCATAGAACACAAGTCATATCAACGCAAGCCAACCCAACCAACTTGTCAAGCCCCTTTAAGATGACCCCTGTCTAGGGGAGCAGCAGTTGTGGCCATGTTCTCCTCCCCTGTTTCCTGCGCAAAAAAGTTGAGGACCAGCACCCTGGCCAAGTCCAAGTGGGCTTGTCGACGGGAAATGTCAGTGAGTCGCGGCACGGCGACCTTATTCTCGAAGCTGTTGCCGATTCGCCATCATGAATCCTGGGCTGGGTGTCGACGCTTGACCACAGGGATCATGGGACTTCCTGGTGACTTGTCCGAGGTTCCTGGGTCCCTCGCCCTCTTGAACCAGGACCCTGGCACCCCGGCAGCGCCCACTCTCCGGTCGACACACGTTAGTTACTTTGGTTGATGAGCATCTTCCACAGCCCTGTTCGTCCTCCTTGCTTCCTGTGCTAGTGCTAGCAGGGATGCCGTCGAGCCCTCCACCACTCCAGATAATATTTCCGATTCTGCTTCCACGCGCGGAGAGCCCCGGATCCAGACCTGATGCCTCGATGGCACCGCAAACCATCGTCACTAAACCCCCGGTGCTTGTATTGTACCCGTCGAGTGACATAGCGACCTAAGCAGCGCTACTGTACCTTGCCTTGCCTTGCCTTAGCCTCCCTTGTCTTTCTACCCTACCCGCTTTCTCTTTACTCCGACCAGACGCACTCCCCATTTCTGCCACCATCCCGAGAAGCCACATCTTGTCATTCTTTACACCTCTTTACCCTCCGCCCATCTCGAACTGTTGGTTGCTTCTTCCTCCTGTCTTTTGTTCAAGAGTTAAGCCGTTCCTCACTGTCATCTTCCTTCGTGGTTGACTCGTGGCTTGATTCTGAACAACACCATTCTCCTCAAAGACGGCTACTCAGACGGATCTTGGAGAGCATCCCGCTAATCCAAGTCCTGCGTACCAGATATCGTTTGGTAGCACCCAATTCTACAGCGGGTTGACACAGCACAACAGCCGTATTCCACGCTCATCTTTGCCGTACTGCAGTTTTGCGGCCGAGGTCAGACAAGCAAACCGCCGGAGTCGTGGGTCTAGCCTGTCTCGAGTTACACAGGACAGCTGCAGCAACACGCGTTCTCGCCAGCATCGTCGAAGAGGACGGCAGTACGCCTGTTGCCCGGACGCGCGAAGACAAAAACCAAATCTGGTTGACCTGTGTTGCTGAGTGAGCCGCAACTTCACACCGGCGAACAGCATTATCGTGCTCGTGACTGGCTCCGGGTCTAGTTTCTAGTCCCCGTGCCAACTTCCGAGTTCACTTATACCAACCAGACTCTCTCGTCTCGCCAACCCGACACATCCGTCTGTATGTTCGTGGAGCGCCGCCTTCCTCTTGCTCATCATCTTGGGGAGCCCGTGGAGACTCCTCTGAACCAGTCGCGCGAGTACTGGTCATTTGAACAGCGCTCCGCAATGGCTGCATCGTCGCACAACCCGTATCCACGATCCCCCAATCCTTCCACAAGGTCGTACGACTCCTCTTCGGTTTCATCTGCGACCTCACCTAAGCAGCCATCTCAGTACCTTCCCAGAGGCTTGATGAATACAGGACCGAGGACAACGGCGGCGCCGCCGCCACAACCCATTGGCATCCCGCCCTTGCCACCCGTCAACCAGAGCGCCTTCACTCCGTATACGCCAGTGACTGCGGGCTCGATCATGGGACGCGATTCACTTCCCTCGGCGGAGTCGGTAGCGAGCACACCAGGCCCTTCTACAGCTTCGCTGCCGCCCATTTCGCAGGCGCAGAAGAGAGCGTACAGGCAGAGGAGGAAAGACCCCAGTTGTGACGCATGCAGGGAGAGAAAGGTTAAGTGTGATGCCACAGAGACGACGAGCTGTTCGGAATGTTCCAGCCGCAACGTCAAATGCCAGTTCACGAAAGAAACCAACCGTAGAATGTCATCGATCAAGCAGGTACAAGACCTCGAGAAGCAGCTGGAACGCCTGAGACGAGAAAATGGCAGCATGAGGCGGATGCTTCAGGAGAGAGATGGTGCGATGGACGTTGATCCGGATGGTCTTGAGGAACTCCCCCTACAACTCCCCGAGATTGGTACCGAACCGAAGCGGAGGAAACGACCTGCCCCGATGCATGACCTGGCGAGAGCGAGGTCCAACATGCGCATCTTCTCTCGCGGAATCTGGAAGCCTCCGGCGCAGTATCGTCAAGCGCCGACGACACCTTTGTTTGATCCGCAGAGGCCTGAATTGCCCCCGAGGCAGACGACTGACCAGCTGCTGCACGCCTACTATGGCTCAGCCCATACCATGTTTCCCATCCTACACTGGCCAACCTTTCAAACTGGAGTCGACGATCTCTACAGGATGGGAAACACGAAATCGGTACAGCCGGCGTGGCTCTCCACGTTTTTCTCTGCGTTGGCACTAGGAAGTCTCTTCAGCTCGGACCCCCATTCACACCGGGCCTATCGAGCCGCGGAGCTCCTCGAAGTCGCCCGGGGCATGATCGACCCCTGGAATAACGACTACGTTCTCGACAATGTACGGGCCTTGGTGCTTGTAATTCTGTGCTTGAACGAAATGAACCAAAAGTCTGCCGCCTGGACGTGGCTAGGCACCGCAGTGCGAGCTGGTCAGGATCTCGGCCTCTACTCAGAATCCGGACCGTGGCCAGTCATCGAAGGCGAGATGCGCCGACGAGTTTGGTGGACGATATACATCCTGGACCGTAGCTTAGCGCTCGATCTTGGCCGCCCTGTCCTGATTGACGATTCGGACTGCGATGTTTCCCTTCCCGCTGGCGTTGACGATCACTACATCCACGAAGGCGGTATTATGGTGCCACCGGGCCGAGAACCCCTCAACCATTCGCTCCTAGCTCTGATCAACGTTATCAGATCGTACTCGTCCCTGATCAAGACATTGGCGGCCCCAGCTGTGGCCCCGACCAGACTCGCAACGTTCGATCAGCACTTTGTGTCGTGCCTTCGAGCCTTCCCACCCGTTTGCGACACTTCAAGCACAGGGCAGATCTCTCCTCACCTCCTGACACCCTTCACCTACCTGCTCCACGCTCGTCTCGTGTTGCACCGCCACAACCTCGCTCCGACCTGCCCTCCCGACGTTCGCCTCGCTGCTATGGAGCAGTGCACTCACACAGCTCTTGAAACAGCTTCCCTCCTCTCGCGCGCTACCCCGAACCTTGCGGATGGTGCAACAGCACTTCTCACCACGCACACGTTCCGATGTGCGCTCTTCCTCTTGCTGGCGGGGTACTGGGACCACGCAACGACATGCCTGCGCGCTCTCGCCTCCATCGACGCAAGGCGCGACGTCGCGATTCCCTGTGGAAGATTCCTCGCCTTCTTCGTCTCAGCACTTGGCACCAAGCGCAGCGAGTATGCCTCCTTCGTTGCTCGCACGACGCCGCCGAAGCCCTTCGCCCCGCCCCCTCCGCCTCAGGGCCGACCTGGCCCTACCCCTCTGCAAGAGGCCCTTCTCCACGACGAAGAGCTCCTGGCGTATGTCAGCGCTGACTTGCAGGCCGCACCGGACGCTGCTTGGATCTGGGCTGGCGGGGAGCGCGAAGCCATCCTTTCTCCCACATCGCCGGGGTCCATCACTGCCTCCGGCGGTGCCAGCAGTGGTCTGTTCAGTGCGGAGCAACGTACCGGCCTGAGCGACGAAGAGATGAAGGAATGGGGTGGATGGGAACGTCTTGAGGCAGCCATCCGCGGGCTGGCCTCCGGTAATACGACGCCCACCCCAACTTCCGCAACTTGGTCTTCGGCGTTGCCCGCGGGAATCAAGTCGGAGGGCACGCCTGCCCCTGCACTGCCGAGCATCATACCCGCCAGCGAGGGAAGCAGCAGCAATAGCCCGACGGCGAGCGCAAAGGGTCGGCCGCAGGACAGGCTGAGCATCGCGAACATCATCTAGAGAGACTACTCAGCCTGGCGCCGTACGATCCCTGAGCGACCCGTCCTGTGGATGGTGTACCGATTTTCCCAGGGAATACCGCTACGGAGCCATACATGATCTTTTCCTGATGTCTTTTCGCAGTACCAATACCCAGGCAACAACAAAATCATGACCGTTCACGAACGTCACGGAAATGACCAGATTCGGAAACCGCGTAAGGATACGACGGTTTCCCAGAACAGTCTTTGCGATTGTCAAGTCGACTGGAGCCATCAATCCGGCTCCACTGTACGATAATGTGTTGATCAGGCTATAGACGTCGTCTTTGCCGTTTCATCTCTCTTCTTTTTTTTCTTATTATTCCACAGTCATTTTTTGCCAAAAATTTCCTTTCTCTACCACCGCATCCAGAGCGGGCGTAGCCATACAGGGCCCCCCTCAAACCATTCGTTAACACCTTAATGTCTGCACTAAAACACCGGGCGGGGGAAGCAGTGGAAGCGGGGAACGGAGGCGGCAGGGTCTCTCGTGTTTTGGCATTTCCCTTTGTATCTCTTGGCCTGGTTCGCTGGAAGACCAGGTCCGGGTGAAAGGAGTTTTTACCAAAAGCCTTGGTGGGACATTGGTGGACAGGCGGGGAAAAAGTAAAGGCAGGCGGGAAGTCGTCCAGTGCCTTGGCAACTTCAAAAGGCTCCAACGTTTGTCGAATTGGTCATTTTAATCAACCGTGGGAGACGGGGGCAGAGGAAGAGGCCGGGCCTTTTTTTCTTTTGTGGGTGGACGCCAGTGCAAAGAGGATGATGGCTGGAAAGTCGGTTTTTTCTTGATTTGCTGTCTTTGTTTGGGGAATATTGTCTATATGGGGGGTTGGGCTGACTGGACGTCGAAATCATCTTTTCTATGTTTGGAACCATTTTTTTCTTTTTTTTTTTGTCGCAACTGCGGAATTTTGCACTACGCAAAAAAGTTGCATTACCTACATGCACATAGGTTATGTACAAACGAAGCGGATTTTTACGGCTGGCCAGCGAGGCACGGAACTCGCTGGTATTTTCCAGACCACGATGACAATCTTTTGTTTTTTGGAACTGTCCTTGTGTGATTTCTTTGTCTTGAGATCTACTGACTAGGAAAATTTGGTTGAAATCATTACAATTGGGATGGGCGCGATGGAGTGTACACAACGACATCTCTGAGAGCACAAACTCTACGTAAAGGCGCATTTTGCAGGAACAACAAGCTCTCGATGGCTTCAACTCAACCGGATTCAACACCAAGCAAACGATTAACGCAATCAAAAGCCGCACGATTTCGGGCGTCCAGCAAGGCCAGCCCGCCGCAAACGCTCCGGACACCGCCCTTCGCCTCTTCGCGCTCATCTCGCACTTACCCAGTTGACACAAACCTCGTCACACCAGCCCAGCAGCCAGGCCCCCAGACGCCAAACGGAACTACCGAACAACGCTACGACTGGATATCGTGATGGGCACGTAAATTGCCTCAAAACACTCGTTTCTCTGCTCTGTCGCCAGATGTGCTTGTGATGCTTGCTGCGCCTACCAAGGTAGTGAAGCGAGTCGATGGCTTCCAAAAGCTTCGAGAGAAACGTCGCAATGTTGGTTTTGGAAACGTCAAACGGCACGATGGCCCCCAGGTTCAGACACAAGATGGAGAGAGAAACCGCGCCAACACGGTCCCCTCCCCACGTTTGGCGTCGTGTTTCTCGTCTGCTGGGGGAGTTGGTTGGATGCCACTGGGACAGCGCAGCATAGCATAGCCAGCTTTCCCTTTCAGCGGGGTGGTGGTGGTTGGCGATCTCACTGTTTGGTAACTGGTACCGATGACCTGCCTCCCGTTGGGGGCTACGGTACGGCCCCATCAGTAAGGTATGGCGTTAGCCCCAATCTTCTGTGAGGAGGGGAGCTGTTTGAGGTGGTATGGTGATCCAAGACCCTGAGATGTGATCTCTGCATTGGGCAGCGTGGTGTGGCCAGGGAACTTCCCTCCCCCCCCTAAGGAAGAACTAGAACGCAGATGATAACCAAAAGGTTCGAACGCACTGCCACCGCCGAATGTAGGTTACCACACTCCACACACCACCCTTTCCCTCCTGAACGTCCGCCCATTCCTGACTAGCTGGAGAGTCTCAAGAGGCTACGGAACGTAGAAGATGCGTGTCACACATGCTGCAAGGATCTTTGGGCTAGCGGCAACGGGCTGAACCTTGGTGAGAGGGCCACCACCCAAATGATTTGCGAACTGGCCTTGTCGGTTATCGTGGACGGACACAGCCTTGTTGTAATTACTTGATGGTGTGGGGACTTGGTGAGAAAACAAGCTTATCGCTGTCATCGATTCTCTCTGCTCGCCCCCCTTGTTCTTGGCTGTGTGGGCGATGATCTGCTCAGTCAAAATCTCTGATGTAGACCGTTTCGGGTGCGGGATTGGGACGATTTAGTGACGGGTTTGACGGGATGATGTGATACGGGGTGGTCTGGCCAACTAGCGCCAACTCAACACAGCCCTTTCTTGGTTTCCTTTTTCTTCTTTTTCTACCTACTGGTTCGTGATCGAGACGTTGACACAGAGTAGTTGGTCCGTGATGGGGTTTCTGTTGCAAGTTTTGGGCGTTTGGCTGTTGTGACCTTCTGGAACCCCCGTCCCTCCCCGGCCTCCATCGAAAGGTCCTCTCGACGGACCGTGACAAGATTGTTTTAGATGGTTGTCATGTCAAAGTGTCAGCGGCGTCTGTGGGCAAAGTGGGTAAAATCGGAGAATTCTTTCTTCATCGTTTTGCTTTTCTGCCTTTTTTTTTTTTTTTTCTGCCCTTGGTGGTTGGCGCGTGCTGGAAAACGAAAACGACGGCACGGCTTTGGAGTAGAGGAGGGATAAGCACAGGGAAAGTCGGGGACCGCCCGGCCGGCATCCCGGGTCTTGGCTCCTTACCCCTCCCCCCTTTCGCCTAACGTGGTCGGGCTTTGGCCCCCCGCCGCATCTTGGCTGGAAGCCGCATCGGCACGCGGCGGCCGGGTACATCTTGGCCCTCCCACTAAGATACCTATCCTTCGTTCAAGGTTCCGGCGTTCCTCTCTTCGCGCACCATCGCCAGGGATTTGTGCGCTCTGGGCTATCGATTGTGACTGCCCTCCCAGGGATCATGGGCTTCTCCGTTTCGGAAGGGGGACTAGAAGGGATGCTCCCCGAGGGTTGACGTCGGAGTTTAGACTGCGATGCGTGGTGTTGAGGGTTGCCGGTCAGGACGCTCGCCGTGGGAAGGGCTCAGCGGTAGGAGTGGGAGGCCGGGGGCGCGGCCCGGCTGCGCTTGCTTGCTCCATCGACTAGAGACCGGTGTGTCCCTTGGCGATGAGGTTGTAATGTGTCAACACTGTGGCGCGTTCCAAGGCTTTTTGGCCGTCGTGTGAGGCACGCTGTGATTGAAGAGGGTTGACAAATACCGTCGATGAGAGGGGGCTTACTGAGAGGGGATGCTGGTGAGGTGGACTTTGGTGTAAGCCGGGTACGCGTCGCGAACCTTGGATGCGGTTTCCAGAGACTGGGAACAAGAAGGGTTCGGAGATTTCATCAGACAAAATGTGGTCTGACGTGCCGCGTAGTAAGATGCCTGCAGGCTGGAGAGCGTGGCGATGCAGACTCTGATGATGGCTCCACTGAGGAGTGTGTAAGTGAGGTTCGGAAGACGCGCCACCGTGATACAACGAGATGAACAGATCTACGGCAGACCAAGATGAACAAAGTTGCGAGTTACCATGGCTCTTCACTCATCATCAACCATGCGCATGAAAGCGATCAATGCTGGTCAGTCAATGCTACAAAAAATCGAAAAAGAAGAACCCGACGGATTGGACCGAGTCAATCGTGGTGAGGATTTGAGCCTCACGCGGGGGTCGAACCCGCAACCTTGAGATTAAGAGTCTCACGCTCTACCGATTGAGCTAGCAAGGCGGGTCTGATTATTAATCAAACTCAAAATTTGGCGGTGGATGGAGCCTGGATTTTGGTGGCCGCGTTCCGTAGAGTGGTGGTTGACAATTGAGCCTGTCTTTTATCTAGCGAATATCATCACATCTTTTGCTCCGATTTTCTTCTTTATCCGTTTCCTTTAGGTATTTCTGAGGTTGCAAGCGTTGAGGCTGTTTTTTTTCCGGGAGTGTTTTCACAGGTAATGAGGGGGTATAGATCTCGATATCAATCCATCCTCGTCTTGGATGGACTGCCTGTGCTAAGAGTGAAAACTCTGGTGAATCAAGTTATACATATCAGCCCTTTTCCTTTTATTTTCATGGATATTCTTAGATACTTCACCTTATGAAGAACTCGTGAGACATTAAGACCAGTATAAACTTACTTTGAGCAGTAGACTTGCTACTTGTAAAGACAGTGAGGAATTGAATGGACTGCTGATACAACCGAAACTGATCAAAGGCTAAGCTGAGTGTTGGTACAGCGCGGTCTCACATCCATGGATAATAGCTGACTCTCTTCAAGACTCTTCTCGGTCGCCATTGTGTATCAGCTTCTGCTGTAGCATTGCCCATAGTGTCAACCTGACAGCAAATTCTAAGCATAAGCGCCATATTGCTTTCTGGACACCCTTTCATTTGGGTCCGACTTAGCCAAAACCTCGATTTCATATGATGTTAATAGGTTGATGGGCCAGTGCATCTCTCGGTAACGCCATCTCTTGACTGCGAAGTCCAACAGTTGTCTAGACCCTAGGGATGCTGGTAAAATGTTCTTATGTCGAGCGGTGTTTCCCGGTCCGATACAGGTTGGGAAGTGTTTGTGTTGGAACAGAGCTGGTGCATCAAGAATCTGGACAACAGAGCTCCCATGTAGGCTGCTCGCTAGTTCCCCCTTGCCAGGCAAACCCCCAAGGATACATGAGACTATTCCCGGGAAAGAAAGGAAACGATGATGAGGGGCGTATAAAGCACGTCAATACAGTCGCCGGGCCAGTTTCGTCACGGAACAATGGGGTAGGTTTAGATTCAAGGATACAGACGGCTGACGACTGCTTCCTTTGGGCATTTGGATTCATTTCTAGGATTCAATATCGACCCATCTTAGCGATAGTGTGGGAAGACATAGAGTTGAAATGCCAAGGCTAAGCCTCTCATTTATTGGTAATCGCTTACATTCAGGTCGTTGGCTTATCAGTCGCTTTGGTGTTACAGAGCGCAAGTCCGCAAGTTCATATCATGGCTTGGAGACATAAGCCGGAAGCTAGCAATAAGTTTAGATTCGCTTGGTAATTCCTCACACTGTTTCTTCTCGTTTTGGCCTTCAGCGAGGAACCAGGGGTGCAGCCTGAGCTGATTTGTGCATGTTCATTCGGTGAAGAAGACCGGGGATCGCGCGACAGCTCGTTTCTCATTCGCCGAAATTGATGAACGCATCGGGGAGCCCGGAACGGCCCCACTACAGTCACATTGACGGACCGTTGATTAGCTCCCGACCCCAGGCAAGGACGAGGTTTGAATATCAAATGGGGAAACTTGGACGTCTTTGTGCATACCGAGCCTGCACAATCAACCTCTCTTGCACCAACAACGGGTCACCAGCTCGTGAAGAAATGTTGGCGCCGGCGGTACAAATGGCCCCCCCAAGTGTCTGGGTCCAACCGCCCACTCGCCGTACCCCTCTTCCTGGGCTTCTCTGCGTTCATCTCTCAGTCGTGCTGGAGAATATTTCCGTCACATTCGACCCAGTGCCAAACTGTCGGTAATCTGAGTCTGCAATCGTTTCTTGGACCAAAGATCAACATGGCCGACTCGTCAAAGGCCCCACGTTCGCCAACGGGTTCACCTCCGGCGGAGAAGACGACGTCCCCTGAAAGATCCAAGACTGCATCCCCGAAGTCCAAGACTGCGTCTCCAGCGACGCCCGGTTCACCCGAGGCTGTTGCTCCCCAAGTTGATAATAATATGGAAGTTGACAACACGACCGGTGTATGTTGAATACTTGGCGTCAATCCGTTTATTATCCATGTTCTAACATTGGCACTAGGCTGCTACCATTGTAACCGACGATCAATTGTAAGAAAGCTCAGTTTTACGCTGTGGCCTGAGGTTGATGTTTTAGATCGGCATACACTGCATCTGTTACTTCGAGTGTTCTTGACTATCCAACGGAGCATGGTAGACGATACCATGCGTTTCGCGCCGGAGGTAAGACTTCACAATCGAGACAGCTGACTTGGGATTACTGCTGACGCTAGCATAGCCTACTATGGCCCGAATGACGAGGTAATTACCATATCCCGGCCACTCACAATATTCCCAAGACATCAAAGATAGCTGACGAAATGCTAGAGAGAATTGGATCGCCTCGATTTTCTATCTGCGCTTATTGTCAAGACCGTTGGGAAGCTCTACTATGCACCTCTGGAGCAAGACAAGACCAACCGAATTCTTGACATTGGCACCGGAACCGGAATCTGTCTGTACCTTTCCTGACTCGTGGAATCCAGGTCTGAGACTGACATGATATGACACAGGGGCAATCGAAGTGGCGGAGTTCTTCCCTAACGCGGAGGTGAGCCATAATCAAGCTTACACAAGTGTTGAGTCTCAGCTGACAGTGTGTCTGACAGATCATTGGAAATGACTTGAGTGCTACTCAGGAGACTTGGTATTTGAGGCCATCCCTTCGAGTCGCAATGAATCAGCCCACTGACCAATATCAGGGTCCCGCCGAACGTCAAGTTCGAAGTCGACGATGTCGAGAGTCCGTGGGTTGGGAGATCATACGACTACATTTTCTGCCGCTCCATGGCGGGCGCTATTGCAGATTGGCCGAAATTAGTCAACAACATCTTTGCGTGAGTTTCTGCTGAGATACCTATGGATGTAGTAGTCTCACATTTTCTGCAGAAACACCAACCCGGGCGGCTGGGCCGAATTCCAAGACTGGGACCTTCTGTACCGGTCGGATGACGGCTCATATAATGAGAAGCACCAGACGCATCAAATGCTGAACATGTTCTTCGACGCGTGTAAGATCATCGGTCGCGAGGCGCGGCCGGGTCCCCTGATTCCTCAATGGCTCGAGGGCGCCGGCTTTGTCAACATCGTCCATCACAGATACCCGATACCCGTTGGACCGTGGGCTAGGGACCCCCACTACAAAGACATCGGGATGATGAACTTACACCAAGTGCTCGATGGCCTCGAGGCCTTCAACCTGAGACTTTTCACCGGGGTTCTTGGCTGGACCGAGACGGAGGTCCAGATGCTCCTTGCACAGTGTCGCAAGGAATTGAAGACGGGTGCATTTCATGCGTACATAAACTTGTGAGTGCTTCATCTAAACTGAATTTGGTGGGCAATGCTGATACAAGATGCACACAGCCATGTTGTGTATGCTCAGAAACCAAAGCCTGAAGCAGCAAAGTAACGAAAGCAATGCTAGCGGTCAGCATCTTTCTTTCGCATTGCGCTTCACAGTAGAAATATCTGGCACCATGTTGATCAAGAAAACGTTAAAGGACGTAATGTTAAAGCAGGAGTGCCTTTCCGAAAACTTATCCGTGAACTTGATAGTGTTGATTAATAGTGATGCGGGACAGGAGCGAGGAGTCTGTGTGCTTTGGACACCGCCAACTCGCTTACAGGCGCCTGAATGAGCGTATTAAATATTTTCTCTCATGTACTGAATTCCCTGGCCCGGCTTTCAACGAAAGTGGGTTTCTTCGATAACTGGGTGACAACTACTCCATGTTATTTCTCCCGTGCCAAGCAACAAGCAGGCTGTAGTCACGGCTGACCTGCGTTGTTGGAGTTCTATCACTCTGTGCCCTCCACTCGGACTGGAGACACCGATCTGAAGAGGAAACAAACCCCGCAGCCTGTACTGATTTACGCAGTATGCATTTGTCGAAGAATATTGGGGATAAATCATCGAGACGAATCCTATTGGAAGTCTGGTCCCACATTGGCAGACGTTGATCAGCTATGCACCCTGGACACTATCAGTACTGTGTGTTGGATTAGGAAAATGCTTCGTGCATCTGCATGCTGGGCATGTACGCATCGTGCGCCAACAATAGGTTAACAGACCTCAATGGTCGGTTGAAACCCACTGCAGAATACTATATTTATCTGAACCAAACCCCTCCGTTGGTTTCCTCTTCCCAACTTTCTCCTCACTTGTCTTGGCAGGTTCTGAGAGTATCTTCTATTCCTCCAAAGCCTTCCATTTTGACGCTGTCGTATTGCTAAGTCTTGCCAGTCGCACCAAATATGGCTGACACAATCAAATCACCGCGTCCCGTGGAGACTTCTTCGCCATCTAAGGCATCTCTTTCAACGACAGAAGCAACTTCTCCGAAGCCAAAAGCTGCCTCTCCAAAATCTATAACATCAGAAACTGCCTCACATACTGTGCCAGGCTCGACGGCAGCCACTGCGGAGCAAGGCGCTGACGAAATTGCGACTGCTCCTGTTGCCCCGCAAGTTCCAATCGAGGTTGATGAACGCGTCGGTATTTTCTTTTCCAGAGCCAATGATAATGTCTCTAATGGCACTTTTAGATCAATGAAAATGATCCGATTCCGGACGATCAATTGTACAGTTGACCATGCTTCTTGATTCCGATTTCCGCTCATTATTCAGATCTGTTTCCGCGTACACGAAATCGCTAAGCTCAAGCGTGGTTGATTACCCCACTGAATATGGACGCCGTTACCATGCCTTTCGCCACGGTGGTAAGTCGAATGTGGTTGAAAATTCAACTTGATTCCTAACCGCGTCCCAGCATACTATGGCCCGAACGATGAGGTAACCCTATGTTGAGTCTTTCGTGCAGCATACGAGAAATGAAAGTACTCTAACACTAGCCTTACTCACGAACAGCAAGAGCTCGATCGTCTTGACTTTGTGTCTGATTTTATCATCAAAATGACAGAAGGGGAGCTGTACCACGCTCCACTTGACTCCGCTAAGGTCCATCGAATTCTGGACGTTGGTACCGGAACTGGAATTTGTTGGTCAACCTCTCACATCGCTATCTTCAACCGCTAACAGTCCCTAGGGGCCGTCCAGATTGCTGATGAGTTTCCCAATGCCGAGGTTTGCCGGTCACACGATCCGCCGCTCTGCTCCCATCTAACGGTTGCCAGGTAATTGGGAACGACTTGAGCCCTGTCCAGATGGAATGGTGAGCTATGTTCGATGGTGACAAATACCTACCAAGTCATGCTAACGGATTAGGGTTCCACCTAACGTCAAGTTCGAGGTCGATGACGTTGAGAGCCCTTGGATTGGGCCCAAGTATGACTTCATCTTCAGCCGTATAATGGCCGGAGCAATTGCAGACTGGCCGCAACTGGTGCGGAATACTTTTGCGTAGGCGAAATCAACCACCCGCACGTTCAAGCCCTTCTAAATGACTAACGTACACTAGAAACACTAACCCAGGAGGTTGGGTCGAGTTCCAGGACTGGGATACTCTCTATCACTGCGACGACGGCACCCTTACCGAAGAAACCTTCATTATGAAGATGGACAGAATGTTCATCGATTCCTGTGGTATGATAGGCCGAGACCCACGGCCTGGTCCGCAACTTGAGGGATGGTTGAGAGACGCTGGATTTATCAACATTCGTCACAAAATGATCAAAGTGCCGATCGGAACTTGGGCGAAGGACGAGCGTCTGAAAGATCTCGGGTATATGAATTTGGTCCAGATCACCGATGGACTCGAAGCTTATAACATGAGACTGTTTACCGGAGTCCTTGGGTGGACTCAGATGGAGGCTCAGGTGCTCTTTGCTGAATGTCGCAAAGAGATGAAGTCGAACCTTTACCACGGCCATTGTCAGTTGTAAGTATCCCCAAACTTGAATCCGTGCAGTGAGCAAGGTATGAACTCATGCTAATTTGTTACAGTCACGTGGTTTATGGTCAAGTTCCGGAAGCCGACGCGAAGTAAGAGGTGTGGAAATGAAGATATCTAGATGCCGATGTTGTTTTCTTAGATTGAATTGACTTGCCATGCCTTATTGTGGGAGTAGTCCGTCTATGTACATGTGTTTCTTTTGATTAACTACTCAACCTCATTATACTCCCCCGCAGGTTTGTGAAGAGACTGAGAAAACTTTATTTATTTTAAGGGTTCCCCTGGGGCCTGAGGAGTACTCCGGCAGACCCGGGCTCTCCAGACGGCCCAGAAAATGACTTACGACTCAGGTTGCTCAGCTCACAACACTGATCAGCGCATTTCAGTTCCTGTCTTAGCACATCATCCCTGGCAATTACTCGAAAGCAGTATAATCCAAACCTTCGCTTTCGCAAAAGACCCAGCTACGCCGTGATGAGTAAACATAGCCTTTGAATGTTCCTCAACTAGTGTCGGATACGCCGAGAGCAAGCATCAACAATCGACCATGCTAGAAAGCCTTCAAATTGTGTATAAAGCCCCGTCGTCGAGATTTCCCGGACTTTGAAATCATTTTCTCAACTACCTTATCTCGCAATTAATCGTACCAAGATCAAAATGCAGCTATCCAACCACATCATCGCCCTTGCTGCGGCTCTCTTCTGCGCGGCCACTGTCTCGGCTGACTGCAACTTCTACGACGGCGGTTGCCCCGCAAACACCTGTTTCTTGCGCGGAACGGACACACAGGTTGTCTGCTGTGACAACGGAGATCCGGAGTGCTAAACGATGTGTATGTCAAACCTCTGCATCTTCTGATACCTCATTGAAGGGGCACGAGGCGAAGTCTTCGAGGTGCTGACTTTGTTGAAGGCTATTTCAAGCCGAGTGAACATAGTTGCAAGGAGTTGATTGAAGGGTTACGAAAAATCGACGGCCGAGGCTCGATGGAGGAGATTTTTCAAGCCGTCATGATTAACTCTTCCCCAGTGTCAAGTAATTCTCTGAGGAGGGTTCGACCCATTCGCTGTTGGTCTCGACAGCGGCTTTGGTCGCGGTTTTGTCCCGCCAGGCTTTGTTGATGACCGGATTGTATCTACATAAGCGCCATGGCCCATGTCGCCAAATACATGCAAACATTTAACCGGCTTTCTCTTTTCGTCCCTTATCATATCTCCGGCTTTCAAAACTCGTATTTCAAAACTCGTAGGAGTTACTCGCATACGTGTAAACCTGGGCTTATGTGGACACTCTATACAATCAAGCTCCCCCGGATCAGCCTCGTCTGTGCTAGTTGATTGGTAAGAATGCCAGATTTGGCGTCATTTGCTGGAAGAGTTTGACGACTTTGATAGATGTTTTAGGTCACGAAAGACTGCCAAAAGAATCGACCGCTGAATTATTCGGCCAGGAGTCTGTTATCAAATATCGTGAACCTTTCCAATGAGTCGAAGCAAATACTGCTATATGTCGGCCTTCTACACCAGAGCACCACGCATGCAGTCATCTCTAATCGGCTTCCACGGCATAACAGACTGACCGAAACTAAGTACACAAAATGGCGCTGCAAGGAGCGAGATGAGTGTTCGCGCTCGAGCTGATAGCGATGAAAGCGGAAGCTTCGATGTTAGAGTAATGCTATTCAAAGCGGCAAGTTCGTTGCGAAATTGTCGCAAAACGTCCTCGATATCTAGGGGGTGCAGGTGTGGTTGACACTGAGACAGGCAGGCCCCGTATGTGTCTTCATCTTGAAGTTGGAGAACGCGACGAATCAGATAAAAGGAGGACGTATCCAATACGATGACGCAACTTATCTGCACCGAGATCGAGACCGCGCGCGACCCATTAGAGAGCAATAATCTCCAGTCGAAACCTGCATGCTGAAAATCTTTCACCAGCCGATGTAGTGGTAGTTAGCCAGCATGCACCAATAATGCCTTGAGAACCGGCAAACCAGGGTTCCGGTTGCCTCACGATGCCTTACCATTCAAGTACGACGCCTGAAGCGTAAACGAAGGGGCTGTGTAATATCCTTACGGGGAGAAACCTTCAGGTTATCTCCTACTGGCTCGCTAATCCATCTTCAGCCTTTTGGTGTTTTCTGCTGGCTCGCAACGCGGGGCGCAGCTGGAATAAGTGCGCTGAGAATAGGCAAAGAACCAGGGCCAGCAGCAGGCTGCAGGGCAGCGCGCCTTCGATGCATGCAGCCAGGCATCATGGCCTGCAACTAGGTCTGACCCCCTGCATATTGATGTGAAAGCCACCGCGATCGGTGTTGCAGGTCAACCATATTAAATCCCCAGAAAAGACGATCGGGGGCGGGCTGGTAGATCTACTGCTAATTCACCATTGACCATGCTTTCAAGCACTTATGTCCTCAAATGGCAGATCCTCTAAGCATTGCGGCCTCCATTGCCGGTCTCCTGGCTGCAGCTGGAAAGGTATACACCGTTGTATCCGGGTTCATCGACAGCACTGCAAATGCGCCACAGTCGGCAGCAGCAACACTGGAGGCCGTTGGGGAGATCAAGCTGGCATTATCTTCCGTTCAGTCCATGATAGACTCGCTTCATCATCTTTCAGCATCTCGCAAAGGGTTGATCCAGCTGGAGCATCTCGCTATCATCATTACGAATGCAGTGTTTACCCTCTCAAAGATTGAATCCCTCGTCTGCCAAAAAGATGGCTTCCGGTATCGGTTGCGATGGGTTTGGAATGAAAAGAGGGTTTTGAGTCTTTTGCCTCGACTAGAGTCTCAAAAGGCGTCGCTAACATTGATCGTTAGCGTTCTTCAAAGGTACCGTTCAATTCCTTTGAGTTTCCAGCGCGGGGCTGACTGGGGTTTAGCCACTCTAATGCCGAGGCGCTTCGCTGTTACGATGAGATGCTTGTCAAGATGGAGGAGGTCCTCGAGCAGAACAGAACTCTCGGCCAACATTTGCGGCTTATGGAAGACCGAGGTCCTTTGGATGTTCGATCCGTCAAGTTCATGGATGACGCAATGTCAATTATGTCCAGTCGCCGCTCACTACGCAGTATGACTTCGTTACCATTTTCAAGAGCGAGGCCATCGTCGTCATTGTCTTCGAGACAAGTTGATTTCGCAAGATGGGACTTTGAGATTGCCCTTCAAAGGTCGAGAGTGTACAGTCGTTCCCACTCGAACCAGTGCGACGTATCTTACACAACGTCAACTGCGCCCACAAATGCGTGGAGCATGCTCTCCGGTCTCAGTCTAAATGACATCTCAGTCGTTTCTGCCTTCCGCCTACCCATCACCCTTAACGACGTACACTTGGTTGCCCCAGGGTCAACCTTCTCCGCCATGTTCATGGAGCAAGCTCTTCCTGTACGCCCACAAGGTAATTCAAGGAGGGCTACAGTGCAAAACACATCGTACCCGAAGCCTGCAATGGCTTGGAACCGACAGACTTCTATACGAAGTTTAATATCAACCTCCATGGAGACTCCCGAGATCCCTGTAGCAAGACGAGTGCCGAGTATGGAGTCATCGAGAGCCTTGCCAAAAATAAAGTGAGTGTAGAAATCAACCTTGGGATGGAATTTGGCTCATTTTCCTGCAGAGTGGTAGTGATAGGGGACTCGAACGCGTTGAAAAGCAAGATGATTCACACTTTCATGGGCGATGCCCCAGTTGCAGCACACGCAGATATCCCAAAGGGGTCTGATTGCTCGCGAAGCACTGTGAAGTATGTTTCCGGAACAATGAAATTTGCTTCCATGATTGCTTCCATGAAGCAAGCTGTTGCGACTTCAGCTGACGCTCATCAGATTGAATGATATTTATGTTGACCTTGAGCTTCACGACACCACTGGAGTGGAGGATTATTCTTCTCTCCTGAATATGGCATGTTCAGAAGTAGATGTCTTCCTGTTTCTTTCGCGAAAATACAGCGACACCCAGTTTCAATCCGTCGGGGAACGCTGGGTGCCGGAGATCTCTGGGATCTTTCCTGGTGTTCCATATCTCATCGTCGGCACCCATGAAGGGAGTGATGAGGAAATCCTGGATGAAGATCTCGCCAAGTTTGCAGCATCCTCCGTTCGTGGGAGAAAATTGGCCGAAGCACTGGAGTCAGTCCGCTATGTGGACTGCGACGTAGGAGATGTACAGGCTGTTCAGGCCTTGATTGGTCAGGTGGGAACATCTCCCTTTTTCCGCATCGGTCAAAAGATAATGGATTGCCAGAGTACGCTAATCCACATGACAGACAGTGGTAGCAGCAAAGAAGGTGAAGCTATCAGTACGCAAACCTGGAGTTCCAGTTCGGGCTGCTGAAGCCGTAGACACAATGACGGAAAAGGGTCCAACCATAGAGGAGACGCCACTGGATATTGAAGAGCCTGGCCACCTAATTTACAAATACGGAAGCCTTTTCCGGTTCCATGATGGTCGTCTGTTCCAACGAAACAATGAGCGGGGTTCTTGGGACGAAGTTATTTGGACGCAACGGTGAAAAGGTCTCTACCAAATCACAGCCGTTTAAGATGCATCCCGTTGCACGAAAGATCTGTAATCTTAATCCACAATCATGCTCATGTTGCTTCACAGACCCTTAGAAACAACTTCGCTATGACGTCAGATCACCAGGACTTGATCATTATCTATTACTACCCGTCTAGACTCTGGAGTACTCCATTTGAAACAGTGAGACGGAGACTGCTATGCCATGAACTGCCAAATGGAACCAAACTTTTGGCCTGGATGTGATTGAAAACCGAGATGCAACAATCCCTCAGTTCGGTTCTTGGACTTCCGCGCTTGCCGATGACTGGACGTGAAGGGCGCACAAGAGCCTTGGTTTATCCCCTCACGCGGCTTCACCTGCTTCATTCCGCGAGAAAGTAGACGGAGAACGGCGGGCACCGCAGGTGGTCTAAGGCTTGCTCGTGAGAGTTGACGGGCATCAATGAAGACCTTACATTCCAGCACTTTCCTATGCCAAGTTGATAACCAACTTGTGGAAACTGTCAGTATCTTTCCCTAACTTGTCAATCCCTGAACAGGGGCCGAGATCTTCGGCGACAGCCAT